CCACCATGAGTCTTAACAGTCTAGTAGTTCCATACTAGGCTTTTGTGGTTTATATCACTTATTGGCCTGCTCTTTAGTTTCTAGCATGGCTAACTTTGTCCCATTGTCTCTACTCCAGCTAGAGTAACCAGAATGCAGCAGGTTTGATCCACTCACTCCCAGTTAAAACCCTTTATTGCTTCCTGTTTACCTCTAGGTTCTTCTTCATCCTTCCACCACTCCCTGTTCCTGCCAGCCTGGACATTGGAAGTGCCCTATGCATGCCTTCTGGACCTCTATAGGCTGTGCCTTCTCCACTTCCTCCCCTCCATTCAGCTTACTGCTACTCATCCTTCAAAACTCACCCTTCAGGAACAAATCTCTCTCATCTTCTTATGGTGGTATAATTACGTGTCTGTCCTACCCCTAGACTGTGAGCTTGAGAAGCGGTATCATGTGGGGACTAAGAGCATACACTCTGGAGCCCTACTACCTGGTTCAAATCCCAGCTCTGCCACTTCTTAGCTGTATGAGAGTAGCAAACTACTTAACCTCTACACTTCAGTTTTTTCATCTGTAAAGGAAGATAACAACAGTGCATACCTTTCAGGGTTGTTGTGAAGATTAAATGAATTACTACATCTTACATGTAAAGTGCTTAGTGCCTGGTGCATAGTTGCTGTAAAGTAGTATGTTTTTTATCTTTGTGTCTCCAAGCACCCGGGCCACTGCTACAATGGTAGACTTATTAAATGTTGGTTAAATAAATAATTGGAACACATTCTGACTTTCACAATGGCCCCCCAGACGTTAGCAGGGCCCATAATGTATCTTATAGGTAAGAATACAGATTCCAGAAGGATTTAGTGACTCCCCACCTCCATGCCCTGACCCCACAGCCACTTTGTCTCTGGTCTGTGCACTTCAGGGCCCTTTCTGCAGAGGTTCCAGGGTGTCTCCCCTCACCTTTCACATCTCCCTGGAGACGTCGGGCCTGGGCTCGGTGGTTGTAGGCTGAGGCCCTCTCAGACAGCAGGTTGATGGCTTGGCCAAACCCCTCCAAGGCTGTGCTGAGGTCACCAGCCTCTGCTGCTGTCACCCCTGCAGTTCCAGGGCCTTGGACTGGTTCAGCTGTTCTTGAGGGAAAACTTCATCTGTGTCAGGGAGGTAGCCGGGAGGGGACAGGTATGTGGTTGGGAGCAAGAATCAAAGGCCACCTCAGGCTTTGGAAACCTGGCACCTGAGCCAGAACTGACTAGGCTGGGATGTGGGTCACAGCAGTTGTCAGATGCAGTATTTGGGGCAGAGGGAGCTGAGGTCACCAAGGCTGAGAGCTAGCAATGCCTGAGTCCCAGAGGGACCTTGGTTGACTCCCCATTGTCAGGAGAATAAAGCTCAAACTCTTTAGCCTGTAGCTAAAAGACTTGCTCAAGGTCACACAGCCCGTGAGTTGTACAGCTTGGATTTGAACCAGGACTTCCTGGCTCCTTAGCCTATGCTCATTTTGTTCTACTACATTCCCTCCAACAGAAAGACCACATGATATTCCCAGGTCATGAAAATCACTTCTCATGTATCCCTCAGCTTTTCAGCCTGAAGTCTCAGTAAAGCTTAGGTCTTACTCCTTTAGAAACAAAGGGCACCAAAAACTTCTGGTGGGGACATCAGTCTCTGTTCTCCATTAGCACCCGATGGAAAAGCCAAGGAGTGCACTCACTGTGAAAGGATCAGCTCAGTGCTTGGCATGTATGGTATGTAACACTGAATGCTTGCTTAGATTGGAACTATTCAGCTGAGCTGTGCCTTGCTCTGTTCCTGCCCTCCATTCTCTGGGGAGTGATAAACTCTGTTATGACAAAGATGTGAGAGTTTAATATTGCCCTCCTCCTGCTGTAACAGTTAAGCTTGGAGCTTGGGGAGAATTAAGTGGTTAAGTTCAGAGGTGTGAGGGCTGAGGACTGAGACAAACTCTGGCTTTCTCCACTCGGTGTGACTTTGCCAACCTCCTGTCATTGCACTAAGGATCAGCCAGCCTCTCAGCTTCCAGTCTCAATCATCACCCAACAGTCATGGAACAAACAAGGGACCTTGTAAAACCACCTCCCTCTATCACCCCAGGGAGGTCTGCGGACCAGCCAGTGTGGAGAGCTGTACTTCAAGGTCAAATACTTACTTTCATCTACTTGTTCCTTCTCAGCTTCCTCTCCCAGGTCCAACCCAACAACATCTCCAAAAGGGGTGTCAGGGTTGAAGATGGCTTGTAACACTGCCCGATCATTTAGAGTCCCCATGGTGCTCAACTCCAAAATCTGAAAATGTGACTCAGGATGAGAGTGGGAAGAAAAAGGGGTGGAGGTTTAGCCTCACAGCCAGTTGATCTAGAGGGAGGTTCTGTTTGAGGACTGTCCCCCATGAGGAGTGTTCCATTCTTTTGGCTGTAGTATAAACTCAACCTCCCTTTGGCCTGGGGTTAGTGATCCTGGCTTGCAGAACATTTACAGGCATTTCTTAACTGCCTCTCCACCGCACCCCAGGCCTATGAGAAACAGTAAGTAAATCCAATTTTAGCCTTAAGGTGGAATGAAGAGAAGGTGCTTTCAGATTCTCCCTGAAATGCTTTCATTTTATTATATTCATGGATTGGAAGAAAGTCACTAGAAGCCACTACTTTGAACACCTACGGATAAAGGAGGGGGGATATGAAGGTGATAAAGGAACTCTTCCTTTGCCTTCTTGACACCTTCCTCATACCCAGAATTAATTAGGTCCTGAACGAAGTTATTGATGTGTAAGGGAAGAAAATATGGTAAGACAGCCAGGATGCAGTAGCCCCTGAAAGAAGGGAAGGAGGAATGATTCAATGATTCCACCTTAAAATAAAGGACTGTGGAAGGTACTTTCTAATTGAATTACAGGCAGTACTCACCCTCCATTTCTCACCCCAGTGAGTCAAAAGAAAACACCATGTGCAACAATAAACTTGACATGTTCATTAATTGAATTATCACTTAAAAAAATACATAAAAAATAAACATGTTTAAAGATTCCTTTTTTTACAACTATGCACACAATTTTTACATTTAATCTTTTATAAAGAGATTTCAGCATTATTATTTTTTGAACTATTAAAGTATTTTTCTTCATCCCAGTCACAGAGAGTTAACACTGATGGACTTTAGACACATATTTTTCCTTTTTTCCCCTTCTTTTTCTCGAAGCAGAAACTTGGAAGAACACAAGGAAAAAAACCCAAAAGATCTGTTATACATGATAAAGTTGTCAAGAAATGTCTTATTTCTAGAAAAGAAGTTTGTCATCTGTCAAGCTTTTGAAACAATTCAACTACCTGTTTTACTAAAAAGACAAATGTTTAATAAAAGAAACACCACAAGTCTATTTTCTTGGTTGAAAGAACTAGAGTACCCCGGAACAAGATACCAGGAAAGCACAGAACATAATTTTCTCCTAAATGCAGGTGGTAATCCCAACATCATAACCAAAAATAGAGAAACAAGAAGTACAGGTACTGCCTGGCAACATTCATGGACAGAAAAAAATCCAGGGAACACCATTTCTGCATTTCTCACTGATCCTAGAAATGGACTGTTTTATCATTCTTTTATGGGTTGGGTTTCTCCCTATTTGGGAGGATCAGAGGAGTGCCAGACTGACATTTTCCTGCCACTACTAGCAACTGTAACACAATCCTTATCTATAGTGTTCAGAGACTTAAAAGCCATGGACTGAACTAGACTTTGTTACATGGTGCATTTCTATATTAGTTCCTATACAATATTTATTTGGAAAACAAGTTTCAAGTTTTCAGACTGAGACTATTCATGATTCAACACAAAACTATCTACTCCATAACCTTGTGTTGCTTTAAAATGAAGGAAGTGAAACAAAATTACACCCAGCCCTTCGCAATCACCCACTTTTTTTTTAGAAAACAAACAAAAAAAAACAAATAGAAAAAAAAACAAATACAAAAGAGAAACCAAAAAAAAAAAAAAAACGCAACCAAAATTTGAATTCTGCTTTCAAATTCCCAAATCAGACTTAAAAGTTAACATCTTATAAGGTTTTGACCTTTAGTATTGTTTGGTTGAAAGTCAGTCCTTTAGAAAAATACCTCATCAAAAGTTTTTTTTTTGTTGTTTTATTGTTGTATATCTATATTTTATTTTTAAAATTTATTTTATTTGTTTCAAGTATATGGTACATTGGTTAGACATTTATATAGTTTATAAAACGATCCCCCTAACTGTTCTTTCTCTCCTCTGGCTCTCCACCTAGCCAGTACATTAAAGCTTATTGCGTTCCCTATGTCGCCCTCATTCCCATGACTATTAACTCCTAATTTGTACTTTAATCCTTTACCCCATTCTCCCAGCCCTCAACCCGCCTCCCGTCTGTCTGTCACCAGATTGTCCTCTATATTTGTGAGTCTATTTTTGATTAGTTCTTTTTGTTCCTTAGATTCCACATATAAGTGCAATCATATGGTATTTATCTTTCTCTGACTTATTTCATTCACCACAATAACCTCTAGGTCCATCTATGTCATTACAAATGGTAGGATTTCATTTTATTAATGGCTGAGTAATATTCCATTGTATATATGAACCCTAACTTCTTTATCCAGTCGTTTATTGATGAGCATTTAGATTGCTTCCATATCTTAGCTATTGTAAATTGTGATGCCATGAATATAGGAGTGCATAGATCTTTAAGAATTATTTTGGTTTTCTTTGGATAAGTACCCAGTAGTGCAATTACTGGGTTAAAAGATATATCCATTTTAAATTTTTTGAGAAACTTCCAGACTGTTTTCCTGTGGTGTGTACCAATTTGTGGCTGTACCAATTTGCATCCCACCACAGTGTATGAGGGTTCCCTTTTCTCCACATCCTCGCCAACACTTGTTATTCTTTGACTTATTGAGGATAGCGATTCTGACAGATGGTTTTAATTTGCATTTCTCTGATGGTTAGTGACCTTGAGTATCTTTTCATATGTCTGTTAGCCATTTGTCTTTTCTCTTTGGAGAAGTATTTGTTCAGGTCTTCTGTCTATTTATTAATTGGATTTGTTGTTGTTGTTGTTGTTGTTGTTGTTGTTGAGCTGCATGAGTTCTTTATATATTTTGGATATTAACCTCTATCAGATGTATCATTAGCGAATATCTTCTCCCAATCAGTTGGTTGTCCTTTTGTTTTGTTGATGGTTTTCTTTACTTTATGAAAACTTTTTAGTTTGATGCAGTCCCATTTGTTTATTTTTTCTTTTGTTTCCCTTGCCCAAGGAGATATATCTGAAAAGAAATTACTGTTAGCAATATCAGAGTTTACTGACTGTTTTCTTCTAGAAGTTTTATGGTTTGGGGTCTTACATATAAGTCTTTAATCCATTTTGAGTCTATTCTTATCTACGATGTAAGAAGATGGTCCAATTATTTTTTGTTGTTGTTGCTTTGTTTTGTTTTTAGCATGGATCTGTCCAATTTTCCCAACACCATTTATTGAAGAGACTATCTTTACCCCATTGCATATTCTCGCCTCCTTTGTCATATATTAAGTGAGCGTATAGGCATGGGTTTATTTCTGGACTCTCTATTCTGTTCCACTGATCAACGTATATGTTTTTATGCCAGTACCATGCTCTTTTGATTACTGTAGGTTTGTAGTGTAGTTTGACATCAGGTAATGTGATACTTCCAACTTTTTTCTTCCTTCTCAAGATTGCCTTAGCTATTCGGGGTCTTTTATGGTTCCATATAAATTTTAGGATTATTTGTTCTAGATCTCTGAAAAATGCCATTGGTATTTTGATAGGGGTTACATTGAATCTATAGATTGCTTTGGGTAGTATGGCCATTTTAATGATGTTGATTCTTCTTACCCATGAGCATGGTATATGCTTCCATTTATTTTTATCTTCTTCAATTTATATTTTCAGTGAATTATAATTTTCTGAGAATAGGTCTTTTACCTCTTTGGTTAATTTGATTCCCAGGTACTTTATAGTTTTTGAGGCAATTGTAAATGAGATTGTTTTCTTAATTTCTCTTTCTGAAAGTTCATCACTGGTGTATAAAAATGCCACTGACTTCTGAATGTTTATTTTGTAACCTGCTACTTTACTGAATTCATTGGTCAATTTTAAAGTTTTTTGGTGGAGTCTTTAGGGTTTTCTCTATATAGCATCATGTCATCAGCAAATAATGAGAGTTTTACTTCTTCCTTTCCAATTTGGAGACCTTTTATTTCTCTTTTTTGTCTGATTGTGGCTAAGACTTCCAATACAGTATTGAAAAAGAGTGGTGAAAGCAGGCATTCTTGTCTTGTTCCTGATCTTAAGGAAAATGCTTTTAGCCTTTTCCCATTGAGTATGATGTTAGCTGTAGGTTTGTCATGTATGGCCTTTATTAAATTTAGGTATATTTCCTCTATTCCCACTTTGCCGAAAGTTTTTATCATAAATGGATGCTGTATTTTGTCGAACACTTTTTCTGCATCTATTGATGTGATTATATGGTTTTTATCTTTAAATTTGTTAATGTGGTGTATCACACTAATTGATTTGTGGATATTGTACCAACCTTGCATTCCAGGAATAAATCCAAATTGATCATGGTGAATGGTATTTTTAATGTATTACTGAATTCGGTTTGCTAATATTTTGTCAAGGATTTTTGTATCAATGTTTGTAAGAGATATCGGCCTATAGTTTCCTTTTTTTGTAATGTCTTTGGTTTTGGAATCAAGGTAATGGTGGCCTCATAAAAGGAATTAGGGAGCCTTTCCTCTTCTTGAATATTTTGGAATAGTTTGAGAAGAATAGGCGTTAATTCTTCTTTGAATATTTGGTAAACTTCGCCTATGAAGCCATCTGGTCCTGGACTTTTTTTGAGGGGGAGGTTTTTGATTACTGATTGTATTTCATTGGTGGTAATTAGTCAATTCATATTTTCTGTTTATTCTTGATTTAGTCTTGGGAGATTGTATGTTTCTAGGAATGTATCCATTTCTTCCATGTTGTCCAATTTGTTGGCACATAATTCCTCGTAGTATTTTCTTATGATCCTTTGTATTTCTGTGGAGTCTGTAATTATTTCTCCGTTTTCATTTCTGATTTTATCTATTCAAGTTCTCTCTATCTTTTCCTTGGTAAGTCTGATGAAAGGTCTATCAATTTTGTTTATCCTTTCAAAGAACCAACTCTTGGTTTCATTAATCTTTTGTTTTTCTAGACTCTGTTTCATTTATTTCTTCTCTGATCTTTATTAATTACTTCTATTCACTTTGGACTTTTGTTTGTT